GACCAACAAGTTCGATGGTGTTTGTAATGAGCATGGTGGAAGCTTGAAATCATTGCGCTCTGAAACCGACACTGTCAACACCTTCACAGTTGAAGTTAATACATTGCTCTTATTTCCATCGATGAGAAATCCTTTGCTGACGTCATAGCCAGCATTCGGCCAATCGTGGCAGGCCGAACATTGTGATGCCCGTGCACCACTAGAGCGACAGACAGAAACAAAAAACAGCGACAAGCCTCAAACCCATGCAGCATGCTCGCGATTGTACCTTTGGCAGGCGTTTAGTCGTTTGGTGCTCGTGAAGCAAGCACGAGCGATTGCAAGCCTGCCAAAAATACGCTCGCGTGCATGATGCTCGTGTTTGAGCATAGCTTCCTTTCTTCTACAAAGCCTCTCAAACCGCGAAAGACTCTGGTTTGAGGCTTATCACTGTCGTTTGTTTCCGTCTGTTGCTCTAGTGGGACACGGGCATGACTCTTTCGATCGCTCACGTCGCCATTAGGGCAGGGTCCCTTACTAAATTTGAACTAGGCCTCTTTTAAAAAAAAATTAAAATATTGCTGTACTGAGCTGTATGCCATTGAAGCAGATCACAGGACCATTTCCTAGACATTAACATTGATCAAACCAAAGTAAGGCACGAGCGACAATAAGAACGACTCTTCACCGTAGCTAGATTAGTCTCCCAGAATCAGGGTCTTGCATCACGGGCTTCAGGTTTTACTCTGTCCTTTAAGAAGCTCGGGGGCTTGAAATGTACGCAAATAAGGATTGAACGGCAGCAGATGATAGGAGTATAGCAGCAGCGAAATCGGATAGCGAATATACAACAGCGGAATAATTCAATTACATGCTCCATGTATTAATTGACGCTATCGACGTACGGTTCATTTATCTAAGTTACACTGCACACTTGAGCTATTTCCCTATTTTCCGGTGGAGGAGGAGCATTACTAGGGCAGGAAAGGCACCGAGGCATAGCTCCTTCCGGCTGGGGAAGTAAAAAAAGGATTGGTTATGGAGGAAAAACTGGGTTACGCACGCACGCACATGAGAACATCTTACTAAGAGTCTACGGATTAATTAACATCTGGCGACAGTGATACCTGATTCAGTGCAGGTTCGCCAATCGTGGGATGAGCTCGGATTCATGGCTGAAGGGAAAGAACCTGGAGAGAGCGGCTCTGACTAGCCCGGGGGAGCATTAGGGAGTTTTAGTATATCATTTTCAAAGGCCCATTACCGCTATGGTCGCGCGCTTCAGAGCATGCATCGAAATGGCAGCGCGAGATCCCGCTACAAATAGCGTCGTCTGAAAACACGATCTACTAAAATTTACTCTCTACACACTCAGAAAACAAGGGTGTATTCTTACACCCTTTGATTCATATAAGACACCCCAAAACTTCAGTTCGACCTACAGCCCATGGCGTCGAACCGACGATACTAACTTTCACGAAAGGCTTGATAACCGAGTGGTACAACTTATTCTTCTTGGCCCAGCTGCAAAAACCTCCGTGTTTTTTTGTTTGTTTTTTGTTTTTGATAGGGACCTTAGCTATTTAATAAGTTATATCGCACCGTTACCAAGCCCCTCGTAAAAGTTGGGGCCGTCAGTTCGACGTTAGTGCGCTGTACGTCCAACTGAAGTTTTGGGGTGTATTATATAAAACAAAAGGACAAAAAGTTTTTTTTTTTTTTTTTTTTTTCTGAGAGTGATGATTTGGAGGCCGATACGGTACAACTTCGTTTTGTGAAGTCAGCACAGGTCGGGCTACCCGAGGGAGGTTGCCTCGAGGAAGGATGTAGCAGGCTTCGGGTGGGCGTTGTAGACTGGAACTTTATTCTTTTTCTCGTGTCGGTGTGCCGTCACGAAAAGACTGACCAAACAGTTATCCAATGCAGCAAATATATGCATATATATATTCTTTTTTTACGTGTTTGAGTGGTAAAAAGTTTCGAGTTTCGGGAACGTGCTGGCGCGTTAAGGTTCGTTCACACAGCGGTTACTATGACGACCCCTACGACGAGCCAATGGGGAGGCGTTGTGCTGCACGACTCAACGCAGCAAAACGCAGTCGACACAATTGTTTGAACGAGTCTTTATTTGCAAGGGTCCCGTCTCAGTACTGCGAGAGACAATAAACACCTCTTGAAGATATGTCTCGCAAATATTGTTAGCGGCCTTCTTCAATGTTCGAACATCGCTAAACCCCCCCCCCCCCCCCCCCCACACACACACACACATAAATAAAAAAGTGATCTAGCAAGCCATATACTGCTAAAGATTGCTAAAGTCACCCCAAAAGGCTGATTTCTGTTTTTGTCGGCGGACGAAGATGGGTGCTTGTCGAGGTAACTGCCGACTTCATAAACGCGGGGCGTGGTGACTACCTTATGATCTCTCTCCATGCGTGACTAGGTAGTGAGACTGGGGAAGGCAATAGCCTGTGTTCACTCTTAACGTTGTTTCCCTCCAGGTGACCCCCGCTCCTGCGAGAACCGTCCAGCTGCCGTGATTTCGACGCGGTCGTTCACTGCTGGCACCTGCACGGGCGCCCCAGCCGCCGTGACGCGGCGCAATTCACCGCCGTTTCACCGCCACTGTGTTGGTGGCTGTTCGACGCTTGACTGGGGTCACGTGGTCACGTCTCTATAGCGCCGGTTCTACCTCTTTGATGGTGTGCTTGGCGCGGGGCCCGCGCCCTCCGGGCCACTTCTCCGAAGTCGGCACGACCAGCGGGAAGGCTATATTGAGCCCGTTCGGGGAGTATCGCGGAGCGGTGGGCCTCGCGCCTGTTTTCGAAGACGCGTTCGACAACGTCTCGCTTCGTCGAACGTGAGCGTGAACTCGACCTCGACCTCGCGACGGCATCACGTCGCCGTGGCTCCGTCATAGACGAGCAAATAGCTGCAAGCTGCGGCGCACCGCTTTGCACTTGGACTGCTCTCAGAGGCGTAACACCTATAGAGTCCCATGAAAGTTGAAACATCCGTGGGCCGTTGTAACGTCTCGTGAATATCCGAAAAATCTTGCGCTCGTCTTCGACGTTACGCGTCAAAAGCAATCGCCGCTTAGACTTCTTTTTTTTTTTTTTTTCTCGTGGTGCCAGGTGCTTGCTTTAAGTCGCTACCGCTATATTCCAGCAGCTCTCACGATCATGCTAAAACAATCAGAAAGTAAGGGCATCGGGGAGATTTCAGCATATAGCGTTGGGGGATCGGTGGTCGACTGGAGTGCCTTCAAACACACGCGCGATTTTGCTTGAGTGGTGACATCTCGGCCATTTTCCGCCCAATCGTTTTTTATGCATTTTGAAGTGCGCACAATCCGATGTTACCCAGCTCGAGCGCGTAGCTTTGGCGAATGCATAGACGCCATTTTACCGCCCAAGTCACGCACCGAGGGCGCGAGAGTGTCACGCGTTGGCACATTCAGGGCAACAATGGATGTCTTCACTCTATAGACAGACATACATGGAGGCACCCCATGGCCGACTGTGTTGACGCGCCACAGCTCGGAGCACGTGGAGCGAAAGCTCGCGCTGAAAAACCCACGGATCTTGCCTTCAAACCGTTTCGATACGGATGGGCAACCTATACCGGCATGCGGTCGTCTATCATTCTTCCGCGTGATGCACGTGAAAGACGCTAGCGATCGTACTGCACGGTCTAAATGTGTTATTTATACAAGTGTCACCATACCTCAAATGCATACCAACATTACGCTGTCTAAACACAAACGTATCATTTTTCTTTTATTATTATACGGTAACGCTATATGCTAAAACTCCCTATTGTTAGGGTGGTAGTAAATGGTTCACCGGCAGTGAGAGCCTCCCTTTGGCAATGCACTCGACCTGCTGCTTGTGCGATGTTCACCTCACGCATGTTTTGAAGAGAGGTATATGTAGTTCCGGCTTTGGAAGCACAAAGGGTTTATCACACGGCTAGCTGGTGCGGCGTTTCGATCCCGTACTCGGTTCTCCATTGGGGGCAATAGTGTTAATTCTTCAGAGAAACGGGCTTGTCTAACACGCTGGCCGATGACTTTTCTTGTCACATATTGGAACTGACGATCTCTAGGTTCTATAAGGTAGCCTTCGAGCTTCCCCAGTATACTTACTGTGAATTGCCATCGCAATTCGCGACTGAACGTACACATCATCGAAGCCTACAAATTGATTTCACAATTCAAACAGGGGACACGTGGCGCCTAAAACTAGTGAATACATTCCCAAGAATGTTTTACTAGTTCTTGCTAAAATAAGTTGTGTTGTGTGTACATTTATAGAACCGGAAGTTAGTCAGCCCCAATGGACGTCTGGTGTCTCAGCTTTAGATGAGCAATTTAGCCAGTGCAGCACAACCACTAGCCTGGGGTCTTTAACGTGCACCACGCAGTAGTGATACACGACCGCACGCCGGTACGATGCTCATCCAGATCGAAACGGGCAGGGATGGGGATTGAGCCCAGGAGGTCCTGCAGCGCGAGCTTTCGCTCCACTTGCTCCAAGCTGGCGTGAGCTAGCCCACTCGGCCACCGATCCCCCTATAGTTCTTGCTGCGGTCTCTACTATATTCTGGGGAATTTCTCTGGTCGATATAGACATTTTGCAGCAGCTGTGCTTGGGCGTCGCCATAACCGACCTTCAGCGTTTCTTTCCTCTTATTGCGTTTCCTTCACTTATCATCACCCCATCAGGGCAGGTTATTGCCATTTTGGATTCTACTGTCCTTCTCCCCAGCATTGGCCTTTCTGGAGGGTCGTCAACGCCCGCTTTAAAGTTCAGTGGCTCGGTAAGACAAGAGAAGGTCAGCAATGGCGACTGCAATCTGGCGCGTGTGCAAAGCGTCTATAGGGAGTATTCACTGGCGGCCATAGATGCGTGCACGGCTGCTGAGCGCGTGCTGACGGCGAGCTTCCGCAGTTCTTTAGCGACGTGCATTCCGCACCATCAAGATTGCCGGTCTTAGCAGGCTATTAATATGAGCTTGTTCTGAGCATGCGCTCTAAATATCGCCCTCAAATATAGAGTCCAGAGCTGATTTGGATCACTCTTTGCTGTGCGTGCGAGCTAGCGCGAGCCAACAATGGCTGCAGCAAAAGCGCGTGCTTGAAGCACTTCCACCAGCGGATGGATTCAGCAGGAACAGCGTGGTGCAACGACGTGGAGCCGTATCGGTCTTCGCCGGACGGAGGCGGTGGGAACGCGGGAGGTACGCATCGCCGTCTCATGGCCCGTTCGGGAACCTTTCGGCGCATCGTTCGTGGACTTGAATTCGCGGATCCGGGGTTGAACGTCCGTCTGGTCGCGGGGCCTGCCTTCCCGGGGCCTTGGCAGGCGCGGGGGGCGCCGCCCCCGGGGCGCACTTGATCCGGCGCCAGGGCCTCGCCTCGGGCTTGCCGCTGCTCCGAGCAACCCCCCCACCCGCACCAGCGCGCGTCATCGCGACGCGGAGGGGAAGTGCGCGGGCGCCGACCGCAGAACCCCCTGCGCGCGAGCACTTGGGGCAACGGGCGCCGCAGGTGCCAGCTCACCGCGCGGCTGGTGGCTGACCGCGCGAGGAATTTCTCGGAAATACACCTCGAAGGGAGAGGGCGCCGCTGCTGCGCCATTGCAGCATGGCGCTATATACCAGCTTTTGTTTTCAACTCCACTGAAATGGCTCCTCGTGCTCGCCGCTTCGAGAGGGTCCTGGGCGGCTTCGAACGCGAACGCTTGGATAGCTGCAACGGTGGCGAAGAAACCGGCGAGGGTTTTTGACTAACCCGCACTGTTAAATCACTCTTTGTTCGTGGAGAGACTGAAGGACTGTAAGTTTCGACACACCGGGTGCTCACTGTCTAGATGCAGTGAGGGCTGCCGTCTCAAAAATGAACGACGTTCTAATTTCGCAGTTCTGAAAACCCGAAAATTCGACCCGAGCTGGGACTTTGGCCGAAACGTCGCGCTCAGTGTTCCAGTGCAGATTGAATTTCTATATCTCCAGCTCGCAAATGTCTACAGTGCAGACAAAGGCACAGGTGTGTGAGCCTAAATCAGCAGAATGCCTCGTATGCTCGAGAACTCGCGCATTTATGGCACTTTCCAAAGCCACTCACTCGCGCCCGGGGGGATCGGTGGCCGAGTGGGCTAGCGCACACCAGCTCGGAGCACGTGGAGCGAAAGCTCGCGCTGCAGAACCCAAGGATCCTGGGCTCAATCCCCACCCCTGCCCGTTTCGATCTGGATGAGCATCGTACCGGCGTGCGGTCGTGTATCACTACTGCGTGGTGCACGTTAAAGACCCCAGGCTAGCGGCTGTACCGCACTGGCTAAATTGCTCATCTACAGCTGGGAGACTCGTCGCCCCTGTGAGGCAGACCAAGTTCTAGGCTGTATAAACATACCACACAACCCAATTTTTTCACTCGGGCCCGCGCCTTTGTCAGAACTGCAGATGTTTGTGAGATGGAGCATACACTCAGAAAAATCCTAGTAAAAAGTTAGTAACTGCAGCAGTTACTACCCTTTTCTGACCGTCACTACCTTTCTCTGACAGTTACTATCTTTCTGCTAGCTATTTATTACCCAAACGCGTGACAGGTAGTAACCACAGCTGCTATGCGGGAAGCGAGAACATGGCTGCTGGGAACCTATGGGAGCGCTGTTTTATAGACTGTCGCAAATAATTACTCTGCGTACCGTTACCTCTTAGTAAGAGATACATTCCTTGGAATGTTTTGCAACAATCTTGTAGAACAATATTTGTGCTAAAGCAGCACCGTATTTGTAACATCGTTCAGGGACGAGGAGGTCACTGACCAACCGACTTCTTTGTTCTGATTCCCTCTATGTGTTAAATGTACAACACGTGTGCTAATGTGCATGGAAACAGCGTGAAAATAAAATATACTCCAGCGTTAATATATATATATATATATATATATATATATTTGCCAATTTTGAATTTGACGCTGACTCGACCACCTGGGTTCGAGAGGTAGCGCGCATCGTTAATAACTTATTCATTACTACGATGTGCATTGACAAAGGGGGAAACTTCTTGCCTTTTTGCCAGGAGGAAGGTTCTTCCCTTTCTGAAGGTAAAAACAGCTACTGCTTAGAGGTAGTAGAGGTTAATAGGTCTTGTGGGAGTTAGTGCCCGTTACTAGCTAAAGGTAATGAAAGATACCATATTCGGTGACAGGTTCAGAGTTCAGGGGAAGCTCCTCCCACCTCTTTCCACTTTAGTACAGCGAACGCTGGAGAAGGGGCGACCTCCTTTCCGGCGTTCGCTCTGCTAAAGTGGAAAGAGGTGAGAGGAGCTTCCCTTGAACTCTTAACCTGCCACCGTCTATAGGTTGGTTAGTAAGCGTTACTAGCTTCTGGAGTAAGTAACGCTGCGAATACCCTAGTTACACTAGCGCTCTTAACTGCCACTCAGCCAATGACAGTTGACTCAATCGCGATCGGCCGGAGTTACACGGCGGTGCCAACTGTCATTGAGCCGCTAACGATCATTGAGTTCAACGGAGCTGGCCTACCTCGTTTAACTGATGGGAGTTCGCCCCAATAGAGCTAAAGATGGCGGCGTCCGCCGGATCGCCGCCGATGGCCAGCGCCAACGAAGCACTTACTATTGCGGAGGATTTGGGGGAGGTATCTAGAAAATACCATAGCAGAAACTATTGTCTTAAGGGGTATCTAGAAAGTATCATAGAAGAAAATATTGTCTTAAGAGGTATGATTCGGGGCTATAGAGCTGCCGCTATACTCCGTTCACCCTTAAGCTGAGACTAGAAGCTCCGCCTTCAGCGCAAGTTTTCTGCCCTTGATGCTAACACAAGTGTGAACGCGCAGGCACGCTCAACGAAAGCACTGCGGAAGCCAGCGAGCTCGCGCTGAAAGTGGAGCTTCTAGCCTCAGCTTAAGGGTGAACGAAGTATGCGGAGAGCAAGTCGTCTGCTTCTTGCGCAAAAAATTGGGTTATGGGGATATTTATACAGCGTGTAGTGGCTTTGATTGAAATGATAGTGGGTAGACCTCAATACTAAGAACCTTGAGGCCTTCCCACTATTTTTTCTTTTTTCAGTCGGTCAATAAGAGCTCGGCTTTCTGATATCAAAACCTCTGTGCAAAAAGCAGACGAACTTGCGCTCCGCATAGAACGATCACGGCACGTCGCAGAAGTTAAAGCTCGGCGAGGGCGGCCGTTGTGATGCCGGTGCCGCTAAGATGTCTCTCTTGCTTGAATTCGGGTGAAACGTTCTATTATCGTGTCTTTACTCTAAAAAACGAACAAAAATAAATTTATTTTGTTTTAAACGTTTATAATGAATGCAAAGTGTGAATATAATTCATTTGCATCACTTTAAAAAAGAAAAAAGGTAATGTGACATCAAGTTTGGTTTTGTTTCGGTTTCAACTGTGTCCCGTGACCACGGTGCCCGTGACGCGCGTTTCAACTGGGTTCGTTCGACCTATGTACTGTGTCACACTGGACAACTTATACTCCGTTCACCCTTAAGCTGAGACCGCAGCCAAAGCTGCAAGCGCGAGCTATCCCGTGCTCCCAGATTTGAGACGTGCATGTCTAGCGCGAGCGCTCGTTCTGTTGAAGAACGCTTCAAAGCAGCGACCTCGAGCTCTCGTGCTTGTGGCATTGGCTGCAGTCTCAGCTTAAGGTGAACGCAGTATAGGGAGTATTCACTGGTGGCCATAGCTGTGTGCGCGAATGCTGAGCGCGTGCTGATGGCGAGCTTCCACAGTTCTTTTGCAACGTGCATTCCGCACCATCAAGAGTGCCGGTCTTAGCAGCCTATTGATGTGAGCTCGTTCTGAGCATGCGCTCTAAACAGCACCCACAAATGTGGCGCCCAGTGAATACTCCCTATCGTTGAGCTCAACAACAGTTGGGAGATGCCAACGATTGTTGCAACTAGGGTATAAATTGACCGTTACTAAGTGCAGTTACTAAAAAGGTAGCGAAACTTCTGACAAGTAGTTACTAACTTTTAGTTAGTAAGTACTACTACCTTTTTTTTTTTTTTTTTTTCTAAGAGGGTAGGTCAAAGGGTCCTTCGAGATTCTCGCTAGGTCTCCTCGTAAATTCCATTGTCTCTCCAAGTGCACAACGGGGATATTAGACTGGCCGTCAGCTTTGAGAGTGCTTGCGCTTCCGCTATAGAAGATTGAAAGTGTACATACTCACTCTCGCGGAAAGCTCGCGCTGGAGACGGAGGTTCTGACGCATTCTTAACTCGGATGTGCAATTAGTATAGTGGAAATTCTGAACACTAAATCGAAGGTTTACCAAGGGGTAACCGAGCGCATGTCGAGGAGAAATGGAGTGCTCGCGTCACGTCCAATGCGAGAGCAGCATTTGGTCACGCGTCTGGAACCGTTTAGACATGACCGGATAACGATAAAGTAAAAAAGAAATTCTGGAAAGAAAGATAATCAGTGTGCTCTTAGGTTCGAAATTTGAGTGGAAATCAAGTTTCTTGCTCCTTGCCGCGATATAACTTGTCTCCCACGCAATATTTAGTTATAGACGCTTTGCAGCAGCTGTGCATGGGCGCCGCCATAAGCGACCTTCAGTTTTTGTTTCCTCTTATTCCGTTCGCTTCACGTCATCATTATCACAGCAGAACAGGTTATTGCGACTTTAGGCGCTACTGCGTCCTTTTCCTCATCATAGACCTCTTTGGAGGCTCATAAACGCCCGCTTCGGTGGCTCGGCATCTCGGTAAAACAGGAGAAGGTCAGCTATGGCGGCTCAATCTGGCGCGTGTGCAAAGCGTCTATAAACCTTTTGTGGCAATGAAGCCAAAGCTGTTTTCGCGCCCGTGCGCTCGCCCGACACCTCGAGCGTCAATGAAAAGTGTGCACGCGCACTCTTCACTTCTAAAATTCCACAGAAAGCTGAGCCCGAGTATTGTCCACTCCTGGGAAATCGACGGCACCCAGCGGCTAGAACAGAAAGCTGTGGCGGCAGGTTCGCTCTCCAACTTTCTCGAGCGAATCGGATATTCACAGCGCCTGGTGGTCTAAAGACGAAGCCGTGAAAGTAGGTTCGGAAACACGTGGTGAAAATCGCCAATAGTAAAGTTCAGATATTCAGTACACTTTCATGGTCCCTTTTAAGCCCTCCGTGTAATTGAGGGCGCAGTAGAGTATTGTAAGAAATGAATTCTTTAATTCTGAGCATTACTGAGAGCTGCATTTTTTTTTAATTTTGTCTTGAATTTTGCCTTGATTCCAATCTCCAGGAGCCTGCAAAGACGGAATAGTTACTTGTTGCGCGACGCTCTCTTCAAAGCGGATTTTGTCACGCCAGACTCTCCAGCCACGTTGCGCTTTCTGGCCCTCCGTTTCGCAGCAGGTTTCTTGCTCGCCTCGACTTTCCTGTTCTTCGCTGGGGACGACCGAACAGTCGCGGACTTGCTGCGTCTAGACCTTCGCCTCTTGCTCTTCCCTGACGTCGCCTTCCTTGCCCTGGACCTCCTAGTCGTGGCGCTGGCACTTCTAGCCCTCGAGCGCGATGACGGGCGGCGTCTGGTGCGCCTCCTCGTTCTTCGCTTTGCCGGAGTTGCGGAAGACGACCTGGAACGGCTCCTGGAGGCAGCAGCCCTGTTCCTTTTACGTCCCCGGACTCGGGAGGGGGACGTCATGGAGGCGCCCTCGCCTACCCCGCTGCTGGATGCGGGTGCCATGAGAAACGATTTAGTCCACCCGGCCTGGACGTTCTCTCTGTCGCACCGTGTCGCACGTCTGGGCCTCTGCAAGCATACATGGGAACCGCGACAGTCGGTCTCGAGACATGCGAGGTGACATTTGAATCTGTTGGCAGGCTGATGTCCATTAAACCCATTCAAGCACAAACAAAAATAAAATCCACTTACGTTATCCGCAGCAACATAGAAACTAATTTATCGGCTCCTTTCAAAAGTAATAATAGAATAATTACCATAGTAGTGCTATATTTGTCGAATATTTTTTTTTACTTTTTCAGTACGATTAGATCACATAATTGTCCCCGCTCTACACGATATAGGGAGTATTCAATGGCGGCCATAGCTGTGTGCGCGACTGCTGAGCGCGTGCCGATGGCGAGCTTCCACAGTTCTTCTGCAACGTGCATCCCGCATCATCGAGATTGCCGGCCTAAGCAGCCTATTAATTTGAGCTTGTTCTGATCATCCGCTCTAAACAGAGCCCTCAAATATGGTGTCCAGTGAATACCACCTATAGGGAGTATTCACTGAGATTATATATCCGCTGTACGGAGATAAACTGAGGGAGAGGAGCAGCAGCAATGTCAGAGCGCCGAGCTCTGATTGGGAGGATCAATGGGTATGTGCAAAAGCCTTTCTCTCTCCCTACTGTTAACAAAATAGTCTAAAATAAAATATAATCTGGAAAATAAACGAGGTCTTGACAACTGGGCTTTTGGTAATTAAAGAATCACTGGGTTTCATATTCTCGGAACTACAAATTTAGGTTACACGATGGAAACTATGGTGGTCGCGTACCACCATCACACAACGCTCTCGCTCCGAGTACCGCAGGTAGACTGCCGCATAGTGGTGCTGCGCAGCTTGGGGTGCTATGTTGCGCTTTTTGCACTCCCAGGAGACTTGGAAGAAGGAAGTAACGTCAACGACTAGAGCAAACGAACATTGGATGTTGACAGAAGAAAACAAAATCAACATCCAATCTGCATTTGCTGCGTTGTTGACGTCACGTCCTTCTCCCTAGTCTCCTGGGAGTGCAAAAAGCGCAACATAGCCCCCCTGGTCTCGCCTGACTGTAACTAGATGCCGCATCCGGTCTGACGCTAGCCAGTCGCGCCTTCATGGCGCGGAAATACACGCGTGATTCCCTGGACGTCGAGAAGTCACTGTAAATACAAGCTTACGAGAACACAACCTTCGTGCACTCCGAGCTTCGTGTAGGCGACTTCAGGAATCCGCCTGGGGAAATAAAATAAAAGGTCCGACACACAATGGCGCTCGCTTACACTACTACCTCCCTTCAATCGGAGAGAACAAGAGCGTCGTCTGCTCCTCGCACAAGGCCTGGCGTTCGAACGCCGAACGCCTCACCCTGCGCCCTCTCGAACCGGAAATTTGGGAGATCCTCCATCAACACCGAGGAAGCCGTCTGAATCGAACAAACTATAGATTCGGGCCTGCCTATCATGCCAAGGCCTAGGCGGTCTTGGCATAGGAGCTCGGTCTACTTACGGACTGGTTGCTGCTTGCTAGTAGGCCGGAACCTCACGGGCAGGCGACGTCGGACGCCGATCAGGAACGCGGACTCCCCCTGGATGTTGGCAAGGCGCGCCAAGGGCGTCGTAGCCTCCTCTTCGGGACTGCTGGCCGGTTCGTGAGCTTCCGGGTCCGAACCTGCGTCCGACTCCTGTGACTGCCCTCGTTCCAAATGAGGCACTGGGTCCGCGGTACACGCGATCTCGCGCTCGCGCTTCTGGTACCTTCGTCCTCTTCATCTCAGCTTCTCGGCGTCTCGTGGTCGGGAAAAAACGAAGTATTCTGGCGGCACTAACGTCCAGTGTTGAAGGAGGTAAAGAAAAAAAGGTAACGAAATACGTCATTCGTGACTTGCAAATGAAAAGAACATGTTACCGTTCTTCGTTACCACAAAATAGAAGGAACGAGTTACCATTACGATTACCGATAAGAGTAACGCACGTTACTTTTTATTCGTGAATCAAAACGCTGTCCCGTTTTGATGAGGCATAAGCGCCATGTCTCAAGAAACGCTATTCCCATGCAGAATTTAACATAATTACCTTATCTTTTTTTGCGGTTTTGATTTTGAAGGTGTGTGCGATGAGTTAAAGAATTCAGATTAGCGCCTAAAACATTAAAAAAGTATGATGTAACTTTTTTTTTAATGTTTTGGGTAGAGGTAACGACGTAACTACGTTACATGTTACTCGAAATAAGTAACGAAATACGTCGTTCGTTACTGTTTAAAAAAAAAATTAAAAAAAAAACGTAACGAGTACTTTGCTACATTACCGAAAAAGTATAGCAATACCGGTAACACCGTTACCTGTAACGCATAACCACTAATACTGCTAACGTCCAAGAAAATGAGACGATCTCTGATATTTCAATCGGCGGATAAGAGGGTGCTCAAGTCTCGACGGTGATCCTCACTTTGGCAAACGCACCTGCGCTGGTCTTGTCATTCCTTTAGTTTTGTCAGTGCTAAGGAGCGTGAATGTGGAGGCTTCTCGAAATCGGTTGTGTTATAGTAAATAAAAACGTTTGTTGTTTATCTTGGGATTAAGGGATAGGGGGAAAGTCGGGGATCCCAGTGTATCCTGACTCTTGAAAATTCCATAAAAATCACCAGATGGCGATTCGCAATATCCTTATGTGGTAATGCGGTGAAATGTGTCAACATATACGGGAGCGCTAGCGCGAGCGCACCTTGAGCACCGATCAAATCTGCGCAGATCAGAGCTCTGCGATACGCCGAGGATCTGAGACGAAGAGAACGAAGGCGCCACAAGCGCGAGCGCGAGATCGCGTGTACCGCGGGATCGGTGCCTTGTTCGGAACGCGGGCGGTCACAGAAGTCGGACGCAGGTTCGGGATCGCTGGAAGCTCAAGAACCGATCAGGCAGTCCCGAAGAGGAGGCTACGACGTCCTTGGCGCGCCTTGCCGACATCCAAGGGGAGTCCGCGTTCCCGTTCGGCGCCCGACGTCGCCTGCCCGCGAGGTTCCGGCTCGCTAGCAAGCAGCACAGCCAGTCCGTAAGTAGACCGAGGTCCCATGCCAAGACCGCCTAGGCCCTGGCATGATAGGCAGGCCTGAGTCTAGTTTGTTCGATTCAGACGGCTTTCTCGGTGTCAACGGAGGAACTTCCGAATTTCCGGTCCGAGAGCGTGCAAGGCCTGGCGTTCGAACGCGAGCGCGCAAGACCTGGGGGGCTATGTTGCGCTTTTTGCACTCCCAGGAGACTAGGGAGAGGGAAGTGACGTCAACGACACAGCAAACGCAGATTGGGTGTTGATTTCGTTTTCTTCTGTCAACATCCAATCTGCATTTGCCTTGTCGTTGACGTCACTTCCCTCTCCCTAGTCTCCTGGGAGTGCAAAAAGCGCAACATAGCCCCCCTGGTGTTTGGCGTTCAAACGCCTGGTCTTGCGCGAGGAGCAAACGACGCTCTTGTTCTCTCTGACTGAAGGGAGACAGTAGGGAGAGAGAAAGGCCTTTGCACCTACCCACTGATCCTCCCAATCAGTGCTCGGCGCTGTCACATCGCTGCATGCTCCTCTCCCTCAGTTTATCTCCGTATAGCGGAGCATTCTATTCGTAAAGACAGTTTGTCTGAACCAGGAACAAAAACCTTGCGTTCAATGAATTCTATCTATAGGAAGTGTCCACTGGACGCCATATTTGAGTGCGCTGTTCACAGCGCATGCTCAGACAGAACTCTTACTTATAGGCTGCTAAGACCGGCAATCTTGGGTGTGGAATGCATGGTGCAAAATAAATGTGGAAGCTCGCCGTCGGCACGCGCTCGGCAGCTGTGGACTCAGCTATGCCCCCCATTGAATATTCCCTGTATCATGTAGAGCGACGACAATCATATGATCTACTCGTAAACCTAAAGATGAAAAAAAAAATATTCGACAAATATAGGACTACTGCGGTAATTCTTCTATTATTACTTTTGAAGGGAGCCGATAAAGTAATTTTCTATATGTTGCGTCGGATAGCGTAAATGGATTATATTTTTGTTTGTGAGTGAAAGAGCTTAATGGACATCAGCCGGCCAATAGTTCCAAACGTCATCTCGCATGTCTCGAGACCGACTGTCGCGGTTCTCGTGTATTCTCGCAGGAGACTTTGACTGTGCCCGGTTTTTAAGCGAGATCGCTGTAACTATCCGACCGTGCGACAGAGAGAAAGTTCAAGCCGGCCGGACTAAATCCTCTCTCATGGCACCCGCATCCACCAGTGGGAACAGTGAGGGTGCCTCCATGGCGTCCCCTTCCCGAGCCCGGGGACGCAAGAGGAACAGGGCTGCTGTCTCCAGGAGCCGCTCCAGGTCGTCTTCCGCGACTCCGGCAAAGCGAAGAACGACGAGGCGCACCAGGCGCCGCCCGTCATCGCGCTCGAGGGCTAGAGGTTCCCGCGCCACGACTAGGAGGTCCAGGGCAAGGAAGGCGACGTCAGGGAAGAGCAAGAGGCGAAGGTCAAGGCGCAGCAGGTCCGCACGTGGTCGGTCATCCCCAGCGAAGAACAGGAAAGTCGGGGCGAGCAAGAAACCTGCTGCGAAACGGAGGGCCAGAAAGCGTAACGTGGCTGGGGAGTCTGGCGTGAAAAAATCCTCTTTGAAGGGGGCGTCGCGCAACAAGTAACTGTTCTGCCTTTACAAGCTCCTGAAGATTGGAATCAATGCAAAAATTAACCTAACTCAGAGGGGCTTTCCTGGTGTCTATATGTACATTCAGGTCTTCTAGGGGCAGTAGTGCTCAAAATTAAAGGGGCCGTGTAACAATATTCGCTTGAAATGTTTTTTTTGTTTTTTTTTTTTTCATTCTACACGAATTTACTGACACTATTGGGATCCAAGTATACTCTCACGCAACGCCACTGTCCAAGAAACTCCTTTATTGTCGTATAATTTCGAAGACAAAATCGAGAGTTTTTGTGCAATCTCTCCTTCCCAAAACTTGATGACGTAGCTGGGCAATCACAGTACCCCCCCCCCCCCCCCCCCCCCCCCCCCCCAGTGCCGATGTTTGAATGCGGCTCATAGATTGGACCTGAGCATTGCGTGAGCACTCGATTCGGGCTCATGATAATCAATAGCTCGACAAGCATTCGGGTAGTGGCCCGTTTCCAATCGCGGCAATGACGACAATAGCCGCG